GGGTGTCTTCCCCCCCCCCCCCCCCCCCCCTCTTGTCGTCCGAGCAGCTACTGCACAGGGCCGTACCGTATATCGCTATAGGGCTAGGACACCGTGCAGCAGCCTCGATTCCTCCGCGACCCCCCCGGGTTTTGCTTTGCAGCGTGCCCCCCGTCTGAGCGGGCCGACCGCCCCGACCAATCAAAACCCCGCGCCGCCGCAGAGGGATCGGCACAAACACGAAAGCAGCGAAGGGAAAGAGGTGTCATGTCAACACTGTTGATGAGGAAAACAAGAATGTCAAATTGTTGACGAGGAAAACAAGAAAAAAGGCCTAAGAGACACAGCTCAATCTCGGCCCCGACCAATCAGAGCGCGCTCACACATACCAGGAAGGCCTTGCTGGTAAATATTGGAATATTTCAGAAAATGCTAAATCTAGGGTAGCTGTCTGCGACAAAAACAACCGAGGTCACAACGTTATTGTTGACGTTGCTGCTCACAAAAAAAAAACAACCTCAATTTACTCAGTTAATACTGCTGTACACCTAAAAAATGCGTATCCTAAAAGGGCAAAGACACGGCTTCCCGCCATCACAGTACAGAAAAAATCAAGCAAGGTGGCTCAAATCCCGCGTGGAGACCATAAGCTGTTCATGTAGGAATTTGACTACCGGAATCCCCCCCCCCCCCTCCCCGCAAATCTCCGAGATTGGACCGTATGGGAGAATTTTCGTGTACCCTTGGGTATACACTTACTGAATTTGATAATCTTAGGTATTGGGAAGGACACGTACACGCGCGAAAAAGGGCCCACAACCGTGGGGGGAAATCTACCTCCCCCCGAAAAAACTCGGGACATACTCGACGAAAACAACTCACCGGATTGCGGCACTTGGATGTTTTTTGGCCGAATTGCCACGTTTACGGGCGTCGGGTGTGCGTCGAAATGTGGCACTCTGCATTCTGAAAAAAGAAGAAGGCAGCACGCGAGCAAAGGTAGACCAAACTGTCTTGTTGAGCCTGTTACCCACAGGGGAGATATCGCTGTGTGCTGCTCGGGAAATCGTGGAAATACAGGCAGCCTTCGCTGACGCTATGGGTTCATTGCTAATCTGTCTTAGACTCTTTTCTTAGATAGAGATGGATTCGTTGGGTCATACTAGGAAAAAGAAAGAAAAAACGTAGACTTGCATATTGGAAGAAAGTTCATTGTCTCCGTTCCATCATCAACTCGTCATCGCTCGCAGCTTCTGCCTTACCCTGTACACGGCATTTCCTCACCTCTGACCGAAGAGCTCCAGTCGGTGGGGGGCACGCAGAATGAATTTCTCAGCGTGGTATATATCTGCCGAGCGTCAAACACTACTCAAATATGTACTCAGCTAAGCTCTTTACCCACCCGTGCATGCGTTGTCGACCAAAGCATTTAAAATGACCAACGCCTGAGAGAAAATTAGAAAACAACACAACCAATATCTATCGACCATTCTTGATCGATTAAGAACCAAGCCTACGGCGGCGGCGGGGGGAGGGGGGTGAGCATGTCCGCATGAGCGCTGGGAATAGGCCGAAGGCAGTCTCTTGTACAGGAGCAAACGTGCGCAACTTCCCTGGCTTGGTGGGAGGAGCTCACCAGTGAGGCTCTTCGCATCCGGTAGTATCCCGAACCCCATGCAGACTAGTCGCACGTGACTCAAATCTTGCACCGGTTCGACACCTTCAACAACAGAGCCAAAGTCAAGCGAAAGGGGTAAAAACAGCACAAGAGGGTGTTACAGCAGTAGTACGTTTTCATTTTTTCGCGAGGCTCATTTCGGCAATATAGGCGGCGGGACAGATGTAACTTGGCGTCCGCCAATCAGCTTTCTCTATCTTAACTTGGAGCCTTGTCTACGTTCGAGACATTTTTGCAATTGCCCCGCTTTCGGGGCACCGAATATAAATGTGTGTGTGAGTTTTGTTTTTGTTTTTGGGCATTTCGTATTTGCCTGGTTTTGGCAGGACATATAATTCGAACAGCCAGGAGCCTGCGAGCTGCAATGTGCCACACGCCCACCGCAGGAAGAACCAGAAGTGTCTCGACGAACGTCAAGATCCACACTGAGTTGTAGGATAAGTACCACCGTAGCAGGACCAAGAGGAGAACTAGCTCAGGAGCAGGGCGAGGAGGGAGAGGAGAGTAGCAGCATCACCCGCGCGCACACGCGCTTGTTATGTCGAGCGAGTGCCCCCACCCCCGTGATCTCCATCCCTGCGCGTTTCCATGTTGGCCGCGCGCCAGACCACTTGAGGAAACGTGTGATGATGATGACGCTCTGGCATCTGTCTGATTTCTTGTTCGCTGGGGCAATCATCATCAATCATTTTCAGACAACATGAACATACACACTTCGTAGATGGAAGAAGACCCGCATACTTTTCTGGGCGGGCAAATGAACGGTTGCTTCTTTGCTGCCGCGGTGACGACACCTTTGCTCTGTCTGGTGTTTCCTTTCCTTCATCGCAAGAGGTGCTAGATTTTGAAAGCGCGTGCGGCCCTCCTTTTAATGTGTGCGTGTATGCATGCCTAACACAACCAAAGGGCTTCAGAGATGTATTCGCGGGCTTCGCCCGCGTGCTTCCCCTCCGAAAACCACTGATGTCCCGGTACACTAATAATAAAATTTCAGGGTACACCTCGGTACCGTTTTTTTAGGCGGATACAGGCGGGGCGGTACTTCAATGTGGCGGTACTCTTTTCGGCGGATCCCGGTACTTCGTTTGCCGGCGGTACAGCCTTTGGCGGTTCCCGGTACTGCCAAATATGGCGGAATTTTTCTGGCGGTACTGAAATATGGCGGTACCGCCTTCGGCGGTTCCCGGTACTGCCAAACATGGCGGTATTTTTCTGGCGGTACTGAAATATGGCGGCACCGCCTTCGGCGGTCCCGGTATCACCAAAATATGGCGGTTTTCACCTGGCGGTACTGAAATATGGCGGCATCGCCTTCGGCCGCCTTCGGCGGTCGCGGGAGACCAGAATATCAAACAAAATATATAATATGGCGATGCCAAACTACATTCGGTGCCCTTGGGCGCCCCATCACCCGGCGAACCTCTATTCTCTCTTGCGGCGTGGGTGCCTACGCAGGATTTTAAGAGTATCTAGAGAAAGAATAGGGAGGGAGCACGCAGACGCTATCCCTAACCCTAACCCTATCCCTAACCCTAAAGAACGGATTCAATACTTTATCCCATATGTTTGCTTAATCAATTCTGCTGAGTAGACCACACAGTGAGGAGGAGTAAAAATGTTCTCCCGTGCCCCCCTACACATTGAAACAACGATACTTTGCTACCTGACATGTCTGGGTATATCAAATGCACACCATTCCGTGAGGGTGCCCATATTCACACACCCGACGAACCAACTACCCAACCTCTTCCCTCTACACCTTCCCAGCGTAACATGCAGATAGATACACAAGACGGCTACCAAACTGTCTTGTTGACCCTGTTACCCACGGGGGAGATATCACTGTGTGCTGCTCGGGAAATCGTGGAAAAACAGAATTTTCGCTAACGCTCTGGATTCATTGCTAATCTATCTTAGGCTCTCTTCTTCGATAGAGATGGATTCGTTGGACCACATTGATGAAATAAAAAAAAGAAAAAAATGAACGAGAAAAAAAGAAAAACTATGAAAGAAAGGTAGGGCAGCTGGACTCGAACCACCGTTATACGCATATCATCGTCCACAGTAACTCCACTAGACTGCGTATCTCCCAGGTGCGACGGGAACCTCACACGAGTCGGGCGACATACCGGTACTGTTACGGCGGCACTGTAGTATGGCGGTGCTATTTTGGCGGTACGCAGTACGGCGGTACCATTTTAGCGGTACTGCAGTACGGCGGTACTGCAATATGGCGGTTCTTTTTAGGCGGTTCCCGGTACCACCGAGAAGTGGCGGTAATTACCGCCAGTACCGAGACCGCCCACCACGGTGGGAAAAAAACACCGAGAATTTTCCCAAGGTGTACCCTGAAAAAATTGCCGCTGTTGTGTTATCTTTTTTCTGTGGGCAATCTTGTCACACTCCAGAAGCGGCGCGAAATTCGTGTTCTTACATGGAACCTTTGCGACAAACCCATCCATTGCACTGGTACGAGCCCGTGGTATGTAGTAGGTCAGAAATGAATTAATAGTGTTGTACGGCGACCAACTTATATTTCTACCGTTCCCCGAGCAGCACAGAGCGATATCTCATGGGTAACAGGCTCGACAAAACAGATACAGCAGTAGTTAGGTAGCTATCTCGTGCATCTGACTGCTGTATGTTTTGCTGGGGAGGTGTAGAGGATATGCTGGGAAGATGTTGGGTGGCGGGTCGTTCTTTTCGGCACTCCTGGCGATGCTAGTTTCGGTGTACTGCTGTGCGCAGAAACTGTTGAAAATCCTTTCGGTATTGTCGCCCTTTGATCCCCTACAGTACTCCTCTCGATCACTCCGCAAGGCGGGGGGGGGATTACTCCGGCGTCTATCTGCGCGACGGAAACTCGTGACCTTTCCGAGAAAACCTACACTACACAGAGCTGTAGCATATAGTAAACGACGTACACCGACTCAAGATGGGTACTCCAATCGACATGTGTTGAAGTAGGCAGTGGTGAGAATTTAATTTGTGTTCCGAGGACGGGAGCGCCGCCAACCTGGACTCCTGACAAGAGTAAAAGACAATACTGCTGTACGGAGTATGTATTGTAAGGGAAACGTGCCCCACCTAATGAGGAGGGCTGCTGGTCTATCATAGACCTTCTCTTGATGCTTTCGGGAAGGCTGCTGTATTTACTAGGAAATATGAATATTCTCACACAGAAAGACTGCCCGTTCGAGATATACCCACAGCAGTTTATTATTGATGTTGACGAAATTTATGCTCATCATCCTTTGTACACATAGGAAGAGGGGCGGTGCTGCTGCTGCTGTGCTCTGGGCGGAAGAAAGATCAGCACGGTATACCACTACATCTCGAAGAGAGCACGAAGAAAAAATCAACCACTTGAGTTGACTTGAGGACTGCTGTTTAGTCGCAAAGAAATATCTTGGTCCCAAGGTCTTGCTCTTTTGACGTTTCTGACGCATGACCCGCCCCCTTCTTTTCGAGGATGCAAGCAATGGTCTCTTCCGCCGACCAACCCACGACACTACACAGTCTCCAAAGCACCCCTTGATTAAAAGCCACCATCTGTTGGTCTACATTGCGCAGAACCTTCCAGACCACGTTCTGATGGCCGAAAGTTCCTCGGAACAGCCGTGTTTCGTGTCTCGAAGAACAGGATGCTACATACATGCCGCGGCGGGCGGTAAATTACAGAAGGTTTCTTCATTATGGATTTATTATGGATATATTTCCGGCGGCGACATCTCCGAGTCCTGCTGTGTACACCGGCCGCGGTGGAACTGCTGCCGCGGCTCTCTCACACACAGTCCGTCACCTAGTCGTCTGACACTGCTGCTGCTGCTGCCGTTCAACAACACTCTTTTTTCCCAACTCCCACAGGCTCACACTTTTTCATCCTCCGACGACGACCGATGTGTGCTGGTCGCTTTTTGCACTGCATTTGATACTTGCTGTATATCGAATCAATACACACCACCCGACGGCCCTTCCACAACGTCCCGCGACCCGCGGTTCCCAACACGGGAGAGAGCGAGAGAGAGACACACACAGAGAAAGAGAGAGAGAGAGAGAGAGAGAGAGTACCCTCTCGGCCCATCTCTCCGAGAGCAGGATTCCGCATCCCCGAGATGTACATATGTGCACTGGACTCAGTACAGCCCAAGGGCTTCCTTGTTGCGGCTGCTGTCTGTAGACTACGGATACTAAATAGCAGTATACAAATGGGACGACGACCAGCCTCTTCGCAGCTGCTGCTTACCGCTTACCTGTCGGCCATCGTCCCATCAGCGCCACCTTCAAGTCCTTGACCAGCGTGGTGGGCTCTGTCTCGAACTCTACCACCACCCCGTCATGGTTCGCGAAGATAAACTTGAGCCTCAGTGCTGCTCCTCCCGCCCCTGCTGCTGTCCCTAACGTTGTTGCACCTGCTGTCGATGCCATTGTCTGTTCTTACTCGTGCTTGATATTTTTTTTTCAGGCTGCGACCACGCAGCTGGGAACCCTCGCTCTCTCCCTAAGATAGCAGCGACTGCAGGGAAAGGAGGCGCGTGATTGTGCGGATTCGCGTTGGGAAATGCCAGCCGGCTGCTGCTGCTGTGTGGGGGAGAGAGACCGACGACGCTGCTGTACACGAAGCAATCACACACGACCCACGGTCGCACGGGGCCCCGCAACATGTACGATATTTTGTCCGCATCATATTGGGGTACGTGCTTCTTCAAGTAAGGTAGCCGCCTCCAACGCAGACAAGCTCCTCGATTGCTTGCTGCGCGCTGCGCTTAGAGAACAACAGTAGGCAGAGACCGAAAAGCATTGGAGGAGGAGGTGGAGGAGGAGGAGGAGAATAGATCCTTGACAGAGCCGGAGGACCTCTGAGCGCGTCCTTTGATGTCTTTGTGTGCGGTTTCTTCATGCGATCCGAGAACAACACTCTCACACAGCAGCAATCAATCCACTGATCTGTATTTGGTTGATTCAGCCGCGGTCACCAGACGTCCCCGCTGTACGCATTCGTTTGAAAAAAGCGACACGTGAGTAAAGGTGTGCTTTTCGTCAAGTCAAGGCACAGAGGCAGTGGGATTTACATTTACCGTTGAGGTGTGTGCGCACACCCCCGCGAGGCGACAAGGTCGCTCCGGAAGGCAACGGACATCATGGAGCAAGCCGCAGCGCTGGGTACCGACCACGGCAACAACACTACTATCGGCTGCAGCGAGGGGCCCCCCAGCAGGAGCCCTGGTGTCGTTGGAGCTGCCCACGCTGAGGTGTCGGGGGCTCAACTACTGTCGGTGGCTGCGGCACTGCAACGGCCAGACCGCCGTCAACCACAGGTGTGCATGAATGTGATTCATTCTCCGATGTTTCGAATTCTGCTTGAGGACTTCGTACAACTGCAGTAATTATGTAATTATGGGTGCGAAATTCAATTTTTTGGAGGTACGGAAATACAGCGCTTGCAGTAGACTAATGGTACATTGTATGCTTTGTTTTTTTTTTGTGGTGGTTGCCTCCCGCACCAACAGAAATAAAGAATTTGGCGCACCACCTGTTGTATTTTTCCCTGGGACTATTCGCTCGACAGCAGTACCAGTTGATTGGCGGTGGATGCAGTTGGAGGTGCAGCTTTCCATGCCCTGCTTTTCGGGACAAAAATGCCTACTGTACATGCGAAACACTTTCTTAGGTGTAGGGAAGTAGTGCCTACGTGCCTACATACCCCCAACGCAAGGCTCCTGGAAGAAAGGACGCCTTCGCGATAAGTCAAGTTTATGAGGAAATATTAACACTATCCCTATAACCCTATCCATCTTCCCCGATTGCATACTTTATCCAACATGTTTGCTTAATACTCGAAAAACCCTGCGAAGATCACTGCAAAGCGATACAACTGCAGCCACCTTGGAAACAGCACCGAAGGGTTGTTGACGGTTCGGCACCCTGCTTTGACGACCGACCACGGTCTAGTGCTGCTTTGTTGGCATCCTGCCGTACAAACTTGCGTGTGTGCGTGTGCTCCTCGTCGCACTGCCGCCGCGTGTAGTTCTTGGCCTAGCATCGCCCAGCAACTGCTGTGGCGTCCTCCGTTTGACCACGCCTTGGGGCTGCTGGTTCCTTTTAGCCCGAACGTCCCTCCAAGCAGCAGCATCAAGGGATACAGACAACGCCCGCAACCTCTACTTTGATAGTTTCGGCCGAGGCTGGTGTTGTCGTTGCGGTTGGTTCCTCTTGTGGGCTAGAAATGCTTTATATATACAAGGCTCCCCTTCGGGGTGTAGGTTCAATGGCCTCCCGAGGGCGACGCAAGAGGAAATGGAAATTAATTTAGGGGTTGTGTATCGTGAGCGTGCGGTAGTGCTCGTGGCCGTTAAATAAATCGCACGTATCAATCGGACGGTGGAGGCGGGTACGGTTGACCAACGAGTGTAATTTTGATGTTCATGTTGTACAACTGCTGTTGGGCAGCTACAATCTCTGTTCCCGTTCCGTAGGTGGTTGGGTTTGCCATGAGTTGAAGGTAGTGTGCGACACTTTGGTAGGTTTGCTGAGGATGACCGGCTACTTGAACGTGTTTTGAATTTATTCCCGCTGAGATGCTCTGGAAGAAGGTATTTTGACCTGAGCCTGGGGTGGGGATATGAAGGTTGTTCGTTATGTGGTCGATGGGTTGCCCTCGGACCGAAGAGTGCATGCTAGGATCATGGAAGACGCGACGGGCGATACATCGCAGTAGGCATGCACCATCACCAATTTCGTCGACATTATGCCAGGACCCGTTGCTGCCGGAGCCACTGGAAAAGGGTTATTGCCGTCGTCATTTCCGTTGTTGTTGCCGTTGTTTTGGTCATCACGGTCGCCTTGGTTATTGTTATTGTGGCTGTCGTTGGTGCAACCGTGACCAGGTAGTTGAATGTCGAACACTGGTGGACGTTGCGCACTCTTCTGGGCAGCTACCTCTACTATACCTGCCGTTCCCTGGAACTAGCTGCACTAGCCCTTCATTTCAGCCGCGGCCCCTGGCGGCTAATCGGCAATAGCGATTCAATCATTAGTTTGCACACGCAAACGAACAGATAAAGATTCAACGAATTCCAACAATAGGACTTGAGCTCAAATGTGATTTTGGATATAGATTAATGTACCTATACCCATTCAGAAAAGGATCGTTGATGAAGAAAGATTCAATCTATTTTTTTTTCCGAGGAATCTAAGAGGAGGAACGGTCGTGTTGTGATTTTGGATGATTTTTTTCAGATGATCCAGTCCAGCCCATGGGTGGGTTTAGAACGTACGTATACCCATCAGCGGAGTCTTCACACCAGGTACCTATATGCATACCTATATGCATACCCCTTCTGTTACCTGAGGCTGAGGGTCGGTCTTAACGAAGAAATCAGATCTCGAAATCACATCTGTACCTATAAAACAAAACTTTGTAGGCCGTTGTTGTCGTCGTCGTCGTCGTCGTTGTTCTTGTCGTCCCTTTTCAAAAACGCGCTGTTCGATGTTTCAGCCTCCGGCTCTTTCGCGAGGAGGGAGACCAAGGCACGCAAGGTACTGCGCGCCGTGTCTCGCGCCCAGCGCGCAGCGCGGCCGCGACGGTGGCGCAGTGTGCGTGCGGAGGTCGCGGAGCAACCGGCTGCGCTACACAAAGAATAGGTCAAATCGTTTTTGGGGGGGGCTGTGCTCTGTCTGTTATAGTCTAGAAACCTCACGGCTACGAATCAATCCAGTGCTTTTTTCTTTCGCGTCGAGGGAGACCGAGGCACAAAAGACACTGCCCGCCGCGTCTGGCGCCCAGCGCGGCCGTGGTCATGGCGCGGTGAGTCTGCGGGGGTGGCGCCGCAACCGGCTCTGCGGTACACAAAAAAAAAGGTGAAATCGGTTTATTTCGGGTGCGCTGCTGCTGCTGTGCTGTGCCGTTGAGGTCCCTGTCTGTCTTAGAACAACCTCACGGCTACCCATCCAGCGCTCTCCTTTCGCGCGGAGAGAGACCGAGGCACGCAAGGTGCGGCACGCCGTGTCTCGCGCCCAGAGCGGCCGCGATTGTTCGCAGAGATGTTCGCAGAAAAGTACATACATATATGCAACAGCGGTATGTAGGAGGGGGGCACAAAAAAAAAAGTCCATCCGTTGAAAGGAAAGGTGACATCTACTGCTGTATGCACTGCTGTATGCACATGCATATTATACGAAAAGCAGCGTGCTCTGTACCTACCTCTGCCTGCCTGTTCCTGAATACTATACTACAGAGTGTACTCTAGCTGCTGCTGTACGTAGTCCCTTATTCGTTTCAAAATAAATGGGTTGCTGTGTGTCGGGGAGAGAGAGGTAGTAGGTAGGTGTGGCTTTCCGACGGATTCTTGCGTGTACAGCAGTGTATTTATTCCTGCCAAATCATAAAATAGTGGTACCAGTCTTACAGCAGTGTAGAGAGACTTCACACAGCGTATAGTAGTAAATATAAACAACAGCAGACCCACGAGGCCGCGTTGGCTACACAACAAGAAGAGTTCATGTTTTGAAAACTGAAGAAGATTCGCCGAAAAGGATTTCATGTGCCTGGCACATGACATGACATTCCTCTCACACATAGTCTACATTAGGATAGATGGAGTCATCATCATTCATGTGCAGGCAATTGATGCAGGAAGAAAGATCCCGTTCTCTGCGTGCACTACTACTGCTGTACACAGCACATGCCTCCCACAAACAGGATAGACATACATGTAGATAGATGGAGAGATATCGTACAGCAGTAACAACAACAACAGCAGCCCCGGCTAGGCCGCTTCTGGGTACGAAACCGATAAAAGTTGAGGATGGATGCATACCGCATTATAAAGCGCTGTTCACCGTGTTCAAAAGTAATTCGGGAAGAAAGGACACATGATCGATGTACTGTAGATTGTCCGTTCTTCGGTGACTAGAAAAAAGTAGCTGGCTAACTAATTGATAGATCCCGGCCCCTCCCTGTGAACCCCTCCGTGTATACAGCACACACACGTCTCGCGCATCATTAATAGATAGATAGGTAGATCGAAGTCATGCAGCAGTATCAAGAGCGAACGACAGACAGACGTGGCGAGGCTACTTTTTAGCTACAACTTCACAAAAAAGAATAAGAGTCGAGGATGGATATGGATGCGGTGTTCTTGCCGTGAAAACGGAAGAAGAATCTTTCATCGGGAAGAAGACCCATCCATCCATTTGGCGTTCTTTGGAAATATTCTTCATCCCGTTGCTGCCGTGGCGCGGTCGGTCGGTCGGTCGGTCGGTCGAGTTGGGTTGAGTATTAGGTTGGGCAAGGTTGGGTTGGGTAGGGTGGGTTTGGTCGGTCGGTTTGTCGCGGTGCGTTTTGGGGCGGGTTGGGGTGAGTTGGAGGTAGAGGGTGGGTTTGGTTCGTCGGTCGGACGGTCGGTCGGGTTGGCGTTGGGTTGTCT